ACAGCCTGACAAAGTTTATGATATATGCGTGTTCTAGACGATCGAGGAAGGCATGAAACACACGATCGACATCTTCATGGACGTTCTTTCTGACGTAGTGGAGAAATACGCGTTTGATGTGTACATCCATCCAGTCGTACCAGTGCTGGACGAGACACGCTTGTTGGTAATCCAGTACAACAAGCTCTTTGAGAAACGTGTTGTCAAGAGCTCCATCTGCAAGTAAGTCACCATCACGGACTCGATATCGCTGCTATCGGATGGGTCGCACCTCTCACGTTTTGCTTGTTCTTAGGTGGTTGGACTTTTTCGATGAATTGGTGTGTGAAGATCCGCCAAAGGTAGGCGCTATTAAACACACGGGTAGCTTCGTTATCATTCACTGACGTGTAACATGTACAGCTTCGACCAAACTTTCGACTAGATGGCACTCACATGCATCCATCATATCTATCCACGCTAGCAGCAGCGTTCAAACGGACCGAGTCACGATAACTCTAGAGCCAAAGTGGAAGCAGGAATAGGATTCAAAGAACGGCGTTACGAGGCGATGCCAGCTCTTGGGCCAGAATGACTTGTAGCCGATACATTGCCCCCGCTGCCGTCGGCCGGTCTGCTGGATCTAGTGACACACACGCACTTCCCAGCTCGACAATCGAGCTCGGACTCAGGTAGGAAAACTCGACAGTGATTTTCCCAGTCGACACTCGCTGCAGAAGCGTGGCGTCGCCCAGTTCACGACCCTTCGTCTCGCGACTTTGCTGCTTTACTCGTGCGTAGGGCAGCGAGTGAACATCCAGCTCCGACAAGACAACTCCAAGTGAGAAAATATCGGCCTTCACGCCGTATCGTTCCCCCAGCATCACCTCAGGGGCCATCCACAATGAAGTCCCGACACCTGCCGTCATGGTTCTGTCAAGTCGTTCGCGTGAAATCCCGAAATCCGTCAGCTTTGCCGTCATCGACTGGTCCAATAAAACGTTGCGCGACTTGAGATCTCGATGAATAACAGGCGATGATAACGAGTGCAGGTATGTGAGCGCGTGGCAGATGTGAAGCGCGATGGTGGCTTTCTGTCTGTCGATCCCGACAGGATGATGCTCGGCTTCGTATTTGTTCAAGAGTGTTCGCAAGTCTCCTCCGTCCATGAACTCGAGAACGACGCAGAGATCGGATAGCGAGTCCCACGCGACACCGACGTAGTAGACGATATGTGGATGGTCCATCATCGCAGTCATCTTGGCCTCGGTTAGAAACTCATTCACGTGCTGGAGGTTGGAGCGCGTGGCTGGTAGCAGCATCTTGACGGCCACTTGCTGTCGGTTGAAGACTCCCGAGTAAACTTCTCCAAACGCTCCCGGCATAAAAGTTTCTCGACGGAAATCTTGTTT